GCATAAAACACTTATATTTTAAAAAAGACCAAACGGTTTATGATGCCTTTGCTTACCTTAAGTTCTCCAGCTCGGTTTCGTACATATTCTTGAGGTTGGCAATCTCATCCTCCAGGATTTTGGTCGATTGCAGGAAAGCGGACGTGTCCACGTTGTTGGCCTGTTGGCCCAGCTGTCTGACTCGGGCCACGTAGGCAGAGAATCTGTCATTCAGACGCTGAAGCTCCTCCTTTTCTTGAACTCGGGAGGTGGGGAAGATGGTGCTGTAAATCTCTGCGCTCCCGCCTACATAATTCGAGTTGGACGCCATTATGGTGGGGCCTGAAGGGCCCGCCGCTGGCTGGATGCCAGATTGGTAGGCCGTGGAGATGCTTGTGAGGTTCCCCGGGTTCCCGCTCACGTAGCTCATGGTGGGCGCCATGTTCATGGCGTCTGTCTGGCTCGCTGCTGGCTGGATGCCTGATGGATAGGACATTGAGATGGGGGAGACGCTGGTGTAGATCTCCGAATTCCCGCTCACGTTAATCATGTTGGACGCCATGTTCGAGGCGTCTGGTCGGCTCGCCTGCGGCTGAGTGGCTGATGGATAGGACATGGAGATTGTGTAATTCTCCGGGATCCCGCTCACGTAATTTATGTTGGACGCCATGTTCGTGGCAACTGGGGGACTCGCAGCCACCTGGTTCCCCGATGGGTAGGTCATGGCGATGCTCGAGGGGTTCCCCGGGTTCCCGCTCACGTAACTCATGTTGGACGCCATGTTTGTTGCACCTGGGCGGCTCACCTGAGGCTGGGTGGCTGACGGGTACTGGGAGGAGATGCTTGGGTAGTTCATCGTATTCCCACTCACGTAAGGCATGCTGGAATTCATTTTCGTGGCATCTGAAGGACTCGCCAGCCGTTGGGTGGCTGATGGGTAGGACAGTGTGATGTAATTCCCTGGGTTTCCGCTCACATGATTCATGCTGGACGATATTTTCATGGTGCCTGCACGTCCCCCTTGCCGCTGGGTGGCGGACGGGTACTGCGTGTTCGCGCCCACATAATGCATGTGGGAACTCATTTTCGTGGCGTCTGGAGGGCTCGCCTGCTGATGGGTTGCTGAGGAGTAAGGCGAAGGGGAACTAGGTGGTCTAGGAAGTAGAACAGCGGGTGGTTGGTGGGTGCTCAGACAAGGTAAAGAAGTACTCTGGGAAGGTGTGCTGATTGAGTGTGTAATCTGTGGAGGTGCTTCCGTTGTTTGAAAAGTTGTCTTGTCTAAAGAAGTAGATGTATCTCCTATATGGTATAGTGCTGTCTTTGATATTGGAACAGGAGGGGCAAAGTTTTCTCGCAAGAACTGTAAAGACGGCTGGTTTTCTTCAGATTCGTCAACGAGTCCACTTGTTTCTCCCTCTGAATCCTGGTGAATAACTGAAATGTCAGAAATGTTCACAGTTTCTGGAACTGGACGGGGTACGGACAGATCCTTAACTTGGTTCAGACACTTGGAGTCAGGAGACCGATGAAGGTACTGGTTGACCCTGCTGGATGAAACAACGTCTTGTTTGGATAAATATTCCTGGGGAGTGGGTTTCAAGTTGTAGGCAGCACTGCCATACAGCTGGAGACTTGGCGCCAAATGAGGGTTGACTGTTCTTGAAAGGACAGGGTCAGGGCGGTAGACTGTTGGCTCCTGTTGTTTAACTGGATCTTGGGGATTTACTGAAAACTGAGTTTGCAATGAAGTGAGCTGATCAGGCGAAGCTCGATACTGCTCCTGTGGATATGGATTCTGACCGGGAAGATCACTGACGTCTTGACGAGAGTCCGAAAAATCCGCGGAAACAGACGGGGGTAAGACAAGTATTTGTCCGGAAGTGGCGGCCTGATTAGGAGACGCCCTGTTTACTTCGATCGTCTTCTTATAAAGACCTCCTGGCTGGAGATTGATTGAGTTCTCCGTGAACGAACACAAGTAATTCCTCGTTATTATGAACGACGTCCCTCTCTCTTTCCCAGCGTTCGGGTTAACACCTGCTGTCGTCCTTCTTTTCGCAGATTTCTCTTTCTCCTGGGCTTGGATTTGGATGATATTCTGGGGAAACTTCTTCTCCTCCTCACTCCCCTTGCTCTCGACCTCCGCGGTATCAGAATCTTTATTCTCTTTCTCTTCCTTCTGCACTCGCTCGCGCGCGATGCGATCCCCAAACGGGCAGGACACTGGCTTGTTGTCCGCCTCCTTGACCCCTTGACCCTCTGCTGGGGTGGCTGTGGCGGTGTCCACTTTGGGGTCAAGGGAAGAAACAGGTACCTGTGGGACGCTGAGAGTTATTTCCCCTTGCCCATCTTCTTCCTGAATCAAGCCAAGATCACGGAATCTGAAAGTAGAGGGGGGAAACAAGAGATAATGTATTAGAAACTTGTTGATCTCCAAGATAATTATTATATTCTAATATATACTGCTCAAAACCACGTGGGACGCTCAATGTTAAAAACAATCAGGAAACGACAAATGCAGTTTTTGGGACACCTGAATAGACATAAGGGTCTTGAACATCTAGCTCTCACTGGAAAATCTGAGGGCAAGCGAGGCAGGGGTAGGCCCAGAACAACATACTTAGGGAACCTAAACAAATGGGTAACAGGGAAAGATCAGGGAAACGTAGCTTTTTTTAGAGCATCCGAGCAAAGGTATGAATGGAAAACAATGATCGCCGATGTCTATCGCAGATCTGGCACTGGATGATGATGATGACTGCTCAAAACATATTTGGGACCACTACAGTTTTTACTATTGTATGTTTGAGACTGTGTGACAGACAAATATTGAGAAATTAGACGAGTGAGTTGATGTCATTGTAAGGAAGGGTCATCGTTGTTTACAATGACGAACAGATTTGACACATGTCGTTTAATTTACGCTGCCTAGACAGGGTGGAAGGGGGGCCAATTTTCTGTAAAATTGAACCTGTTTTTGACAATCACTCACGTGATTTTGAGAGAGTGGTAAGGGTTAAATACCAACTCAGGGGAATACATGCTTCCTACATTAATGCCAGAGTGGGTTTGACGGTGCAAGGGGTATTTATTTCGGCGGGCACATTAAGTGATGTTTAACTAGCCTCCAAGAAGACGTCTGAGCAACATCGACAGGGGACGAGCCCTAGCCTGGCTCCACGAAGGGATTGCTGTCCGTGAAGTGGCAAGACGGCTTGCTGTGAGTTACTCAGTGATCATCTGACTGAGAGACCGGGTTGCTGCAACTGAAACTGCTATTGAGCGAAGGCGGTCCGGACGGCCACGTTGCGCCACACGACGAGAGGACCGGGCGATCGCCAGAACAGCCCTGGCAACTCGAACCTGCACTGCCCGTCACATCAGACGGCAGGTGGTACCCCCAGGCAATGATGGAATCAGCAACCAGACCATTAGAAACCGGCTGCGTGAGATTGGTCAACGTTCCAGACGATCAGCAGTACGGGTTCCCCTGACACAGGCCCACCGGATTGCCTGCAGAACCTGGTCCGCCCAGCACCTGAGGTGGACACACCCGCAGTGGTCTACTATGCTCTTCACGGGCGAGTCCAAGTTTACATTGTCCTTCAACGATGGCAGGGTCCATGTTTGGAGGCGTCCTGGTGAGCGCTTCCACGACAATTGTGCACAGGAGCATGACCGGTATGGAGGAGGCTCCATTATGGCGTGGGGTGGGATTGGACTCAACCACTGGACGCCCTTATATTGCATTCTAGGCACATTGACGGATATCGGCTACAGGGATGAGATTCTCCGCCCCATTGCAATTCCAACTCTTCGAGCAAAGGGCCAGGGCGCGATACTCCAGGACGACAACGCCAGACCTCACCGCGCTCGAGTGGTGGATGACTTCCTGTAGCAGCAGCACGTGATCAGGCTCGACTGGCCAGCCCGATCACCGGACCTTAGTCCCATTGGACACTTGTGGGATGCTCTTGGGCGCCGAGCAAGAGACCATCAGCCACCCCCAAACAATGTGGATGAACTCTTTAACATTTATTTGGACCAACAATGGCAAGCTATCCCACAACTGACATTGCGAACACTTATTCAGTCCATGAGACAAAGATGCAATGACTGTTTTCTTGCAAACGGTGGCCACGCGCGACTTTGAGCCATAATTGTTTATGTGAATTTTCAAACCGTAGGTTACCTCCTTCAACATCGAAAATAACTCATTTTCCATTTTTTTTAATGTGCAAAATGTCGTTTACAAAAGGATATGATGAATAAAGACCCCTCTCAAACAATTTTGAACAGTCTCATGTTTTTCAATTTTATGTACTATTTGTGACTTTAAGTAGTCCCTAACTTTTTTTGAGTAGTGTACATAAGACTATGAGACAACCCCGTAAACGAAACAAAACAGCAACAAAAAACCCAAAAGCAACAACAAAAATCAAATGAACAAAAAAACAACAACAAAACGAAATACCCCCATCCCCCCCCCCCTACCAATAAATACTTAACAACCAAGCATATTCTCATATACACAACACTCTGTAGTGTGGCGCAGAAGTACAGCTACGGACGGACAGACAGACAGACAGACAGACAGACAGACAGACAGACAGACAGACAGACAGATAGATAGATAGATAGATAGATAGATAGATAGATAAATTGATTGATTGATTGATTGATTGATAGATAGATAGATACCAAGTGCTGAACGGCGGGTAGGTAGGTCGAAAAAAGTGTGTTAAAGAATATTATTATTCTTAGTATGAATTGTTGTGTCAAGCACACCGGTACAAAAAAATAGGGGCGTACACATAGTGCGGGTTTTCTTTTTCTTTTTTTTTCGCTTTGTTCTGTTTTGTGGGTTTTTTAAAACTTTACTTTAATACATATTTAAAAAAACAACAACAACTTAAAGTAGGCCTACGAGTTTTATGGCAGTTGCGACACAGTTGGGTCATAGAAGTGCGAAGATTAGAAGTGTTATTAGAGAAGAAGCGGGAGAATTGGGTATGATGGATGTTTGAGGGAAAAGAAAGACAAAAGCACACTAGACCACCTGCCAACTACCCATTATTTTAAAGATCCCCCCCCTCTATATTAAAAAACGCACACGGAAAAATACCCCTGTAGTAAAGTCAGAAAGAAACAAAAGAGAAAATACGGGGAAACTGCAAGTGAAATCCGCCACTCACCGGCAGAGAGTACGCATGAGGAAAGATAAGTAGGCCTTTGTACACAAATCTTTTTAGACAAAAATGTGGGGGGGGTTGTTAGTATACTTGAATTGATGTTACATAACAACAAACTTTTACAATACTATTATAAAGAAACGACACGACCCTTTATCTAAACCACCTTTACAGATCCCGTCCTCCCTGACAGATCTCGTCCTATGTTTGATTTCAAGAAGATTATAAAAACCCCGTCTTACGAGGCCGGTCTACCATTCTTTAATTTGCGTGCAACGCGGGTGGCTCCCCCCCTTACCTATTCACAAATGGCCCGCGTCGAGTTTGTGTACATTTGCTATGGAGACGACAAACATGGCGGCGCTAGGGAAGCGCGTCCTGGCCGAGGGGCGATAACTAGGAGGGTTTGTGGACTCAGGCGCACCGGGAGGTCACAGTAAACACTTCATTTGCGACGAGTCGCATAAAGACAGTAAAATGTGTGAGCGGGTTGGTATAAATACATGTACACTGAACCGGTTGGTACAGTATACGGTGATATAGTTTCAGCGTCTTTCTTTTTTAACACAGAATGAACATTCAGGAGGCAGAGTCCCGAAATCTACGCCACATCTCTGATATATTGAACGAGAAGGTCATGAAAAATCTTGGAGGAACCAAGTGACCCCCCCAAAAAAAAACAACAACAACAAACCCACACAACAACAAAAAAAACGTACAAAAAACAAACGAACGAACGACCGAACAAACAAACAAAACAATATCATATTGAATCAAAATCAAGTTTGTGCGAATGTTCCACAGCCAACTCGTATACCGAATAATCTGAACGTGCGAGACCTGTTTCAAATCCCATTTGAGATCATTCCCATATAATTATGGTAAGTTTTTATTACCTTTAATGTAATGGCTTGGTGACAAGTTTGGTTTCAAGGAGATTATAAAACCCCAGTCTTACGAGGCCGGTATATTGATAAAATTACACTGACGTGTTAAATGACATGCAAGAGTATGATGCATTGACTAGAACTGAAAGGAATGAAGTCTCTGAAATCACTTTTATCTCCGTTTGTTTAATCAAATGATTAAATTATTTGGTGACCACGTCCCCAGCACACTACAAACACATATTCCACGTTGTTGTTTTTTTTCCTCATAGTGGCATGGCGGCGGGCCAAATGAATTGAGCTCACGGGCAGGATCTAGCCCGCGGGCAGTAGTTTGGAAGATTACCACACTGGAGGTCTATTTTAAAAGACAGTATATCAGTTCTGTACGAAACTGAGTTATCGATTCTACCTGATAGTTTAACAACACGGGGCACACTTCTGCCTTAGTCTGGTATCGACATTTTAAACAGATAAGGCGCGGAATGTGTTTTGAAGGTATTCAAAAGAACTGGCTATTGAGAGGAAAAGATGTGTCGGTTTTTTTGGTTTGGTTTGGTTTTTTTGAGTGGCTCTCCTAAACATTTTACTAAACTGCTTATACTGTCTTTTAAAAATAAAACTCCACCATGGGTTACACATGTACACGAGTGTTAACATTAAAGGAAGCAGACACATAAATCACCGGAACAATGTCCATTAAACTGCAGTGCTGCGTGTGATTTGAAAAGTTATTGAAATTGTATTAAATGAGTCCACTATGCCATTATTGACGACAATTTTTGCAAAATATGACACCCCCACCCCTTTACACAAACACGATCAAATGAAAGGTGCCTCCGTGTCAGGGGTTTTGAAAACCGTGGGGGTTTTTTTAAATTTGTTATTTGATCCCTTAAGAAAGGTGCCAAGAACTGCCTGTGCAAGAACTGCCTGTACAACGAACAGGTTTACAGTTGTGCCAAGAACGGGGGTGTGTGTGGGAGTGAGAGAGGGAGAGAGAGAAAGAAAGAGAGAGAGAGGGGGGGAGGGAGAGAGAGAGGAGGGAAAGAGAGAGAGAGAGAGAGAGAGAGAGAGAGAGAGAGAGAGAGAGAGAGAGAGAGAGAGAGAGAGAAAGAGGGGGAGGGCAAGCAAAGACGGCTAATCTAGGGACAGAGCAGAGGCACTGGAGGGAGAAAAAAAAGATTGAGGATTGGGAATTTGGGCAGAGGCGGGGGAGAAATTGATATCAGCAACACTCAAGAGAAATCTGGTTTTAAGAGAGTGAGGAGTCACGTGTAAATATTGGACACACTTGCCTAC